ACAAAAAACAAGAATGAGATAATTTGATTTTGATTGTAAATTGCACGTCAGGTCACTTCCTCCTGATTTACTGCAGTAGTCTTTTTGTTTCCTATTTTGAATATAGGAGGCTCACTCCAACAAACCAAATCACCATATGCCTTGATCAAATATTGTTACTCTTTTCATGTTATGGCATGAATTTGAGACCTTTATAGCTAATTTGTATATTGCATATTAATGTACATGCAGAATAGAATTTGAAGAATTTAAATTTAATAACAATTTTTCCTTCTTCTATCATTATTTTTCCCTTTAAACTTATTGCAAACTCTAAGCTTTTTGTGGAAAGATGTGAAGACAATCTCTGACTCAAAATGAGCTGCAGTCTGAACAAAAATGTGATTTATAGTGCAGTGAAAAGGATGTGTCGTACAACAATGAAAACAAATACACATCATCTTTATTTTAGACTCTTCTAGCATTTTATAGCAGTTGAAAAACTCTGTCCTCAAAATTTTAAGTTCTGTCTTTAGTTCATTTCTTGTTTCAAACAAAACTTCTTTTCAAGGTAAATGAGGTTTTTAGGAGGATTGGATTTTAGTATGCAAGCTGGAGAAGAGAATAGCAATACTATGATTATTGTTTTCAAAAATCAGGCCATGAGCAAGAGTCACACAGGTGACTGGGCTGTAGTATTACAGAAGCATGTAGTTCTTATCTCTTACACGGATAACTGGTTTACACACAACACAAGCAGAAAGCTACTGACTACAGCTACTGTACATTGTTCTGCTTTGTCACTGACGGTGTCTGGAGAGGGAACAGGCTTGCCTGGCTTTAATCACCAAGTACCAGTAGTAAAACACCCTCAGATAGGTTGTGTGTTTCAGGACTCAACGGATAATATAGTACAGGAAAAAGAGCCTGGGAGTAAAGACTTATGGTCTGACATTCAAGCATTTGAGATCAGTGGATCTTATGGCACACGCAAGATCAAAGTTGCTTTGCACAAGAGTAGTCAAGGGTAAATTCAGTTATGGTAAAAAAAGATCAACAGAGTTGGGCTAATTCTTACAGATCCTCAGTACGCTTATGCTTTTACCATTCACCGTGCAAAATTATGCACTCTGTAAGAATAATCTAAAATTGGCATACGTAACTGGATCACTCCCAGAAGAATGGAAGATCTGATGAGTAAAAGCAATCAGTGCTTACAGAATTGATGGGTTTCAATTAAAACTCGTTTTTACTTAACTCTGATAGCTTGTGTGAGATCTCCAATGGAGACTATGCATTAAGGACATTTTTTCAAGAGCCTATCTTTAATTTTTTTCAGTAATGTTTATGTAAAATCTTTTCATTATTTCCCTAATCACGGGATAATGTATGTTCATTCTATATATACACTAATTAATCTCACCTTTGTAAAGTATACCTTTCAAAAACCTCACAATAAAATATAAAATTGCAAGTATTAGCACAATGCATAAATTCTAGAAGCGTTTATACTTCAGTAAACTAAAAAATTATCTGATCGTGTGGTTCATAAGAAAGTCTTTAATAATAAAGGTGAGATCACCTCCAGGTGTTTTCGATGTTAGAGTCATAAGGGAGTGACACGTCAGAAATAAGCAATGGTCTCTTATTGAAATAGTAATTCTGTAAAAGCAGAAAGTCCATGATAACTGAAAAGAATGGAAGACAGTCATCAAGAAAACTACAGCTATTAAAAACTCAGAGGAATGCACAAAGGTTAAAGTACCTAAGTAGAAGACTACAAATATGGACTGAGAAACATGCAGATATTTTACTACATCTTAGAAAAATGAGCAAGGATATGCTGGTCAACAAAACAAGTGTTGACAGGTGCAAGAAGTAATACATAAATAAAGTGAATAAAAAACTGAAGTGGATAGCAAGGAATAAAAATTAGAAGACAGAAGGTGCAGAGAGGTGGTAAGGAAAGGTAACGGTAAAATGGTGACGCCTACAAGAACAGAATAAAGTACAAGAATGTTTTCTTTTCAAATATATCAGAACCAAAAGGACCCCCAAATCAATATTATTTCAATTGTCCAGAAATAATAGAATAGTTAATAGCAGTGTATAGTAAATGGCCATTTCACTGAACATTCCGTTTTGGAAAAAAAAGCTAAATGAAATTTTCAGAGCATACAAAGATGATAAAACATCTTCCTATTTATAGCTATTTTCAATAGCAAGTTTAAATCAGTAAGTTTGGAACCACCAAAGACTTTTACAAGAGCTGGAAAGGGAACACGTTAGACTGTACTGTTGATTTTAGCAAGTCTTTGAACACTGGAGAAGTTTCAGAAGACGGAAAGAAAACCCACACAGTGTAAATATTTTGAAAGGGTAAGCAGTATTGTCCTAATAATTTCACCAATTTGCTAAGTTTTTATCCAGTGTAAAACAGTTGACACAGGATTTAAACTAATTTATTAATAAATTAATTAACTAGTAGTATATTTAACGGTGGATAACATAAGCTGCTGGAAAAGCGAGCTTGTCAAAGTGCTGCAATATTTTTTTTCTGGCCATGACTTTGGTTGAAAGTCGTAGTCAGGATTCTACAAAACACATAACGTCATAGTGCACATTAAAAAAAATCAGAAATTATTTAAATTTAAGAGATTAAAAATGTACATGATACATAATACATAGATTTAAAATGAGATAATTACTAGGTCTCAGTATGTAAGCACATATAAGAAATCAGACATATACTTAGAAGGAGAGAAATTACATATATGCTCACAGTACATGTAAGAAATGAGCCTTGTTTCTAATCAAGCCTTCTACAATTTGGTTCTTGGCCTTAGTATGACTTCAAGCTTTCATGAAAGACCTGGAAGAAAACTCCAGCACCTTCTGGTGAATGTTGCACTTGGAGAAACTTTGGAGCAAGTCATGATGAGAGCTGGTCTGGATTGAGTGCGAAACCAGTACAGCCAGCGGTAAATAGTGCAATAAAGAGACCACAATTACCCTCATGTCTGTCCTCGGACCACCAACTCTGAGAAAGAGAAGCAGCAGCTCTGAAAGCGGGTTGGGCATCACACAATGATGAACACATTACATGACAGTGAAACTAATGAGTCTGTCAGGCTGAACGTGTAGAGGGGATCTGAGCTGGCACTCACTGTGTGTTTGGCACTGATACGTCTACTACCTGACTGGTGTGTCCAGTTTGTCTGCTGAAAGCTCACAATACGGGAGAGGGTTTTTAAGAAAACATGACTTACACCAAGTCATGCAAGAAGCTTACCTCCATTTGGCAAAATGAATAAACTGATCAGGCTACATGGGTATACAGAAAGACCTTAGACAGCTAGAGTGCTCTTCATACTAGCGATAAAATCTGTGACACAACCAAATGCCTAGACATGGAAGCCAGAGGACCTCAGATAGCAAACAAGAGAAAATTTTTAATGGCAATGGGTAATTAAAACCAATTATCCTAAGTTTAAGTGGATTTTCTGTCACTGGAAACTTTGAAAGCGAGCATGATTGTATTCATAAAAATTGTTGTCGAGTTGACAGCAACTGCTGGATTTGAAGGACTCCGGGCAGTTCTATAGACTCAGCTAAGCTAGAGGTCAGGCTGGGGAACAGCTATCACCTCTGCTGACCTTATCTTGTATTAATCTCACTTAAACATGAAGAAGTTAGTGAAAGTCTTTTAAAGAACAGTAAAGGGAATTTAATCACAGAAGTGAGGATTGCTAGAAGATGGAGTAATTTCTTTTCTTTATTTTTATTTATCAGGGAGAACAAGAAACATGCCAGGAAAAGAGATAAGGTTTCAATGTAGAGAAGCAAGCTAAGAACATAAAAATTACTGCAACAAAGAAGTACCTCAGAACAAGTTTAAAACAAAAATTAGATCATCTGAAAATAAGGAAGAATCCAAGAAGGGATGGCCAGCATCCCAGAATCCTGAAAGACAAGGCAGACGGAATTAAAAAGAACATAGCTGCAAGAATTTTCAACTCCTCACTGACACTGAGAGAGGTATATGTTAAGGAACAGAAAGAAGGTAATGTTAGATAGGTGCTTAACATTTTTGGGGAAAAAGAACACCAAATCCCGCAATTTTCTGATCAGGAAGAAATTAAGATCTGTAATTTACACACTAGAATAAATAAACAGGGAAGACAACAATATTAGCAAACCTGATTAATCCTAGTACAAGAGTCTACATGGTTAAAAGGAGTAGTACATCAAATACTGGAAAGTACACTGAATGCACTCAATTTAAAAAAGCAGATTCAGCGTACAAATATGAATGGTACCAATAGATTATCACACAGATTTAAAACAATTTCTCAGTTTCCAGCCAAGATGAGAACATAATGAGAAATGGATGCTGGCTGTTTAGGTATGAGATGAGGAACAATACATGAAAGATGAGCACTGAGCTTCATCTTTCTTTCAGTATATCAGCTAGCCAGAACAGGTAGCAATGTGAGTAATCACTCACCATCACTGAATGTAAAAGAGGAATGATGCTGGATCAAAATAAATCTGAGAGAATAGAGAGGTACATAGGAAAACTGCTAATATCATCTGTCTAAAATATGAAAACTACTGATTACTGAATTAAAAACAAATGGAGGATATGTTCTCAGCCCAGCTGATGAGCTACATGATATCAGTCATGAAAGAAATCTGTTTTGGTGGCAGTGGCAATAAGATCTTTGAAAGCATCACTCAAAGGTGGCAGCAACTAGGTGAGTGGAAAAACTTGCTAAGAATTGGGTATACCTGCACTGCATTGGGCTGCAACATGCAGAGATACCCATGCTGGTTTCAAAGAGCAGTATAGTGACTCCAACCGAGTAAGACACTGGGTCTAAATAAACTTGTCTACACATGATTTCTCTCTCAAGCAGTACGTTAGTAACTCTAAAGGAGGTCTCTTTCCTTTCCTCCCCGCAAAGTCACCATGCAAAACACAAACCCATATACATAAAAAACGATTTTTAAAAACATACTATTTTCCTGTCATAGGATTCCCCGCTGCTGTATGTTGTAGCTAATGTGGATGCACATTCTTCCAGATACCATGGCTTCTTCCCGCTTTCAGCTGTGCTGCTTATGGAGATAGTGTAGATGCTATTGGTGTAGCCATCACAGGAGCAGTGGTCTCGACTTCTTCCACCATTTCCAGATGCCCAAACAAAGACTGAACCTAAGCCTCTTCGTCCCTGTTTGGAAACAGCATAAAAGTTTTGATTAATAATCTTCTTTCCCCCTCACCTCCCTAAGAAACAAGTCTTTTCCCTCTAAAAGACATCTGAGGAGAGAAAGGCAGTAAAAGAAACTAGATTCTGAGAAGAATCTGAAATAAAACCAGGATTCAGCAGAGTTCAGAATCAGGCATCAGAAAAATTCAGAAAATGAGTGGTATGAACACAGTTTTAGAAAGAACTTTTATACGGTGTCTTATTTGTTGCTCTGCATCTATGATATCCAGCTGTACCAAGAAAGAGGTGTTGAAGACTCTGGAGACCTTTGACATGGTCCAGCCTTACAGACTGGAATTCTCTAAGGTCTTTGACACAGTCCCCCACAATATCCTTCTCTCTAAATTGGAGATACAGATTTGATGGATGGACTGTCCAGTGGATGAGGAATTGGTTGAATGGTCAAATTCAGAAGATAGTGGTCAACGGGTCAATGTCCAGATGGAGACTGGCAACAAGTGGTGTCCTTTAGGGGTCCGTATTGGGACCAGTACCGTTTAATCTATGACACAGCGGGATTGAGTGCACCCTCAGCATATTTGCAGATGACACCAAGCTGAGTGGTGCGGTCGACATGCCTAAGGGATGGCATGCCATCCAGAGGGACCTGGACAGGCTGGAGAAGCGGGTCCGTGTGAACCTCATGAGGTTCAACATGGCCAAGTTCAAGGTCCTGTACCTGTGTCAGGGCAAACCCCTGTATCAATACAGGCTGGGGGATGAAAGGATTGAGAGCAGCCCTGCTGAGAAGGACTTGGGAGCACTGGTGGATGAAAAGCTGGCCATGAGCTGGCCATGTGTGCTCACAGCCCAGAAGGCCAACCGTATCCTGGGCTGCATCAAAAGCAGCGTGGCCACCAGGTCGAGCAAGGTGATTCTGTCCCTTTGCTCTGCTCTGGTGAGAACCCACCTAGAGTCCTGTATCCAGCTTTGGAGCCCTTAGCCCAGGAAGAGAAGCCTCTGGGGAGACCTTATAGCAGCCTTTCAGTACCTAAAGGAGGCTTGTGAGAATGATGAGGGCAAACTTTTTAGCAAGGCCTGTTGTGATACGACAAGGGCTAATGTTTTTAAACTAAAAGAGCATAGATTTAGACTGGATACAAGGAAGAAATTTTTTACTTGGTGGTAAGGCACTGGAACTTTACTAAGTGTGGTGAGGCACTGGAACAGGTTGCCCAGAGAGGTTCCATCCCTGGAACCATTCAAGATCAGAGTGGGCGAGGCTCTGAGCAACCTGATCTAGTTGAAGATGTCCCTACTCATTGCAGGGGGGTTGGCCTAGATGACCTTTAAAGGTACCTTCCGACTCAGACTATTCTATGATTCTATGACTCAGATGAAGCATTAAAACATCATGCTGGGTTGGAAAAGAAATACCATACTTGAAACTAAAGCCCTTTGTAACCCATGATACCTTTCATTTATTAGGGCACTCTCAGCTGTTTCTTTTTAGGTTGCCTGCTGGCACTAGATATTGTTTGGGTAGCATTACATACTTTGAACCAGAGCATCATTGTTTCATAGTGTGGTGGTGCAGCCCTCCCTTGTCAGGCCATCTGGCGATCTCAGAACCAGCCAACATTTTGTTCTTGCCTTTACTGCAAGAGCAGTAAGATGGAATGACTTGGCACTCTTCTTGTCTTTGTACAAGGGCAGTGAATTGGGCCAATCAGGTGCTCCCTGACCACACCTGGAACTCCTGCTACCTGGATCACACCTGCCTGGTAAATGTCAGAACTGTACATTCTGGAAATTACTGGAATTGTACCGTTGCTGTCAAGATACCAGAATTACCTCATACAGATTGTGGCCGAGATGGAAATTTACTGATGACTAAAGTCAATCATCTCGTGACCCTATAAACAGCGGTCCATAGTGAAGCCCTGTGAGCTCTGCTGGACCACAGTGGGATGCGACCAGCATCTCCCTCTGAGTGGGGTGCCTCTCAGAGCCTGAGAACTCTTTAATTCAGAGGACGGTCGCTGATGGTACCTGGGCTGAACTACAGGGGCCCCTCACTCATTGAAGCTCAACCTTTGCCTGTTGAGAAATCATTTGAAGTGACTATTTCACTTAACTTGAGGGGAATTTTTAACAGGTATACCTTTCTTTGTGTGTGTGTGAATTGATTCAAATCATAATATTCTACTGTTATGATTGTAGTGAATCCTATTTAATCACTTTGTAAATGCTAAATTAACTAACAATTAATTGTTACTAAAATCCTGCGATTCTCTCTTTAACTGTGAATAAACCTTAAACTGCTGCTACACATATACAATGCTTTGGATATAAACCATTGATAAAGTGTGAGGGTTAGTCTGGATCCATCTGCATGCAGGCTCCTCTCTGAGAAGGAGTTTAGAAAGTAAGTGGGTCCATTCTGAACCTTGTGACTCCAGGGAAGCATCTCCCTTACCCATTTTCTACCTTCAATTTCTGTATAAATCATCCTATCTCAATCCTACCCTGACTTTTCCTTTACATATTCAGTTCATTTAATAAGTAATAGAGTGAACCTTTCAGTGAACTTTGTTAAGTCACACTTTTATAAATTCCTATTAAAACCGCTTTTTGTGAATGTCTTTGATGGTGATACTTTAAGCAATCCTAGCCACTCATTCGTGACACACAGACATTATACATCACAGAAACACAGAATACCCGAGGTGGGAAGGGACCTCAGCTCATCTAGGCCAACACATCTATTTGATAATGAATGCTAAATGCACAACACAATATATAAACAAAAATGGACAAAAATATAAGATTCTTATAAATCTATTCTAATGAAGCACTAAAGCATTAGTTCAGCATGATTTTTTAAAAATACAACTAGCTGGGCAAGTTACTTAGGCATATTCATAATTTCAGATGAGGACTTCAAATAGGTAACATCACCTTGACATTTTCTTAATACATCAAAGTTATACAGTGTCCAAAGGAATCAAAACATTTTTGTACTCTTAAATAGGGATTGATATGAAAACCTGTATTGCTGATATATGGGAATTGAGAATTACCAATATATGGGTAATTGGGCTTTTCCTTATTTATATTTACAAATTTCATGCCAGTGAATGAAATTCAGATTCATGATGATGATCTGCATTAGTCATCAGTACTCACTATCTGGAAGCACTTTAACATTCAGACAGAAAGGTTCACTAAAGGACGAAACTTATCTTTGATTAAACTAAATTGTGTCACCTTTTCTTACATGAAACTCTCTTTAAGTATTGTCTATCTCTCCCAGTTACAATTATGCTAACAGTCTCATTCATACTTCATTTACTTGCAACTCATCATGTAGTATCTACTTGTTTTTTGCATAGGCCCACCCCTGTGTATGATAAATTAATGTTATAAGGCATTAAAAACACTTTCTGTGCATGAATTAATTTCTTGGCCGTGGGGGGGAGTTTATTTATTTGTTTTATCTAAACAGTGTGCAACTGTGTACCACAAAAAAGCATAAAGACAGCTGTTGGACATCTACCAGGTCAACCTTAAACAAATAACAGTTCAAAGATTCATTTAATTCAGACGCTCAGAGGGGTTTCACTAGAGCTTTTTGTGCTAAGTGTAACTGAACCTACATCAGTGTAAGACAAAAAACCTCACAGTTTACAATCCAGGCTTGAGTTCACAAACATTGATAAATTTCATTTTATGAGTTTAATAAAAGTATACTACCTGGAGAAACTCTTCTCTCCAGCAAAATAAGTTAAATATCAAATCCTCCTGGCTAGTGTTTACATAAGGTTATGCCTCTAACATGCAACTTCTCATTACATTTCAAGCAGAGAAAAAAATCCCAGGGTGCCAAGTAGAATGCATTATGAAATCCACATTCTCCAGACAAGATCAGTCTGAGCAGCCAGGAAGTGTAACTATTTCAACTTCATTCACTTCCTTTAGTTGATTTTAGCTACTAGACTAAGAAGAAGATGCAAAATTGTGACATATTTTTTTGTTTTAAAGACAACCTTTATGAAGTGGTTCAGCTCTCCTTCCTCACATTATGAACTCTTGCCAAATCAAAACTTCCCTTCTGTTTGGGGTTCTTGTTCTGTCTGCTTTTCTCAGCCAGTGAGGTCTGATTCGGAGCCTCCCAAAGCCAGTGGGATGTGTTTTTCAACTCTGTGGGGCTGGAACTGGTTTACAAACCACTTCTCTTTCATTCTACGATCTGGTCACCTCCCTTTGCATATCTTTACTTCTCACCCTTCCATTGTGAAAACAGCTGATAAGACAGATGAAAAGAAGCATAAATGGAAAGATATTTCACGCGTATTCACTGATTCATTAGCAGGTCAGGGAGCCAGAAATTAGGGCCCTCTGTATGTCTGTGGGGAATGGGATGGGGGATTACACTAAAGATATGCTGGTTGTCTACATTTTGATGTGCTCGTACTTGATTTTTATTGGATTTGTTTTGGTTTCACCCCATCACCTCTTGCAATTAGATCATGCTTCCCAGCAGTATTCTATTAATTGCTTTCATCCTCTGTCTCCTCAGTGGTCATTTTTGGCTTGTCTGTCAGCTCTGACATCTGTTTTGGAGTCATGCACAGATTCCTGTCTGGTCCTACATTGCTCTTAAAAAACAACTTCTCTCTCCTACACACACCCTCCCTCCAACAACATTAATATATGCATAGGCAGCTAGAATACACAGAAAAAAGCATATCACACAGACACACTTCTACCTCCAGAACACATCAAAATATTCCAGCAAAACCTTATTTTTGATGAATTTTTGCAAGTATCTGCTATCTGGAGAAATTTACATTTTTCCTCTTCACATATGTTTCTCAAAAGCACAGCATTATGTAACTACAGCTGGCCAAATCAATACCCTATGGGAAATTTGGAGTAACCCACCAACACAACAAAGAGAGAATAAATGAGAATTCAGGGTGATTAAACCACAGATCCAAAGAGGAGAAAAATGGAAT